TACCCAATATTTCTCTGTATTTTTGCTTTTGTCCCACACACTTCTCTTTATTTGTTTTCTGCCACAGACTTTTATGGTTTTACTACTACCAACACTTGATTTCTCTCCTACTTTAACCTTCTCTTCAATTATTTTCCTACCACATACTTCTGTTTGATTGTTTTCCTACAACATACTTCTGTTTTACTGTCTACTGCATACTTTTCTGAGGTGTCTTTGTACTAAATACTCTGTAATTTTTTACCAAAAACTTCTGTCTTAATAACTCAGCGTTGATTAGCTGGTATCAAAGATTACTTTGTGATGGACAAGTAGTGAATAACTTACCAGTTTACCTACTCCATGATACTGTGACCTAGTATGAGTGAGGCTGCATAATTTTAAATCCTTGAAATAAATTAGTCTGTTCCATTGAAGTGTGCACTTCTGTAGGCCAGATGTTTGCAGTGTGTATTGTTTGCAGTTATTAGAATTCTTATTTTTAGAAAGCACACAGAAAGTATATTGCACTATACAGAGGAATGCAACATGCACAAATTCATTATGTAATGCAAAATGTGTTTTATCAAACTCTTTGTGAAAAATATATTCAATTTCTCTAACCCCCAATGGTCTGTTCACCTAATATATTCCTATATCACTATCACCATACTCTAGATATCACTGTTTCTTGAAAGCTAGATGGGGTTTAAATGAAGTAATTATCTTGGTTTTGCTTGACACAAATGATAACAGGGTTTCTCTTCTAGTGTGAGAATCAGAGTTATTACTAAACAGAATAGACAACATTTAATAACAGTTTTCATATGAGAATGGAAACTGAGGCTGCCACTAGCTACTGGAATGGTTCTCCATAACCTCACGTACTCTCAGTTCATGCTTCAGAAAGTTAGGAATCAATGGCTTTGATTGGCATGGTTAGTTTTCACTTGTAGAAGCCTGGAAGCTTCAAGAACTTATGTGGATCGATTCTCCAGATCTTTCAAGAGTGTACTGGGAGAAGAAAGCTAATAGACTAGGCTTCAGGAACCACTTCATGTTTCCCGGCCCATCTACACACTGGCCAACCTTTTTTTATTCATACTTTCTCAGACTCTTCTTCATTGAAGGGGTGTCACGTTGTCTTGCTTCCAATAACATCAGTGCTGATGTCATGTTTTCTACACTACAGAAAGACACAGTTTTCAATGACCCCAGAACATCTAGAACTGGCCCTAACCCAAACCCCCTTACTTGTGTGACCTGAGCCTAGGTCATACGAGAGACTCTTCTCAAATAAAGCAGTACAATGTGATACCCATCTGACCTAGATCAGACTGAGAAAATGTGTAGATGGACCTGGAAACTATGAGAAGTCCGGCTTCAGAAATATCTTTGATGCACTGAACTTGGGCAGAAGAAATAAACGACATGTAGAGTACATATCTCTTCTTAATAATGGCTCTCAGAGAGACCCTTGAACATGAAACTGGCTAGTGTGAACTCTCCAGTGAAGAAGTAAATTAAAAATAACATAAGTGATGAACAGGAATCTCAGAGCAGGAAAGCAAAGTTACACATGAATATAACCAAAGATTTTTACCAAAGTCTTTATCAGTTAATAAAACAACATATTTTATCACCACAGAAATAAGGGAAATGTGAAAACTAAGAATAAGAAAACAAAATTGTGAAATGAGAAAAAAAGGACAGGAAATATAAATTGAAATTAAAAAAAAAATAAAAAATATAATATCTAAAGTATTTTCAGTAATTGATAAACTAAACACTGTGAGGAACTACAGCTGCTGTTGAACACTTACATTTGTAAACATCCAATGGGCTGAGGGTCAAGAGCAAGAACTCCTGTAGATACCTATGGAAAACCTCCATATTTATAACTTCATTAAATGACATTCACATGTTGCTGTCTATTGTTTGTACAATATAAATCACATATCATGCCTGGAAAATATATTATTTCACACGTTTCAGAAAATGCCTGTGCAATGTGAACACTGTTACGTCTAGCACTTTCATATAGCACCCTTTTAAACGGTAGACGCATAGCACAAGAATGCTGCATTGTGTATATGATATATATATATGTGAAATATTAGTGAAATGTGATACTGCAGTTGTGCAATATCACATGTAATGTTTTCATCATTAGGAAGATAAATAGGTTCTGTTTACATGTTTTATACTTGTTTCCAAAAAAAATTTATTTACAGTGTATAAAAGTGGGGATTTTAAGAAAGAAAATGAATTTATCTGAACTCTCAGACTTATCAATCTGAAATGGGTAATAGGTTTTGAGAAGCCAAGCCTGCCAGCACAAAATGTATAATTTTAGCCTTTGAGTAAATAACATCAGAGGCAAGAAAGTATGATACAGAACTGTAACAGCTGTTTCACCCCTCGCACCCATCTCCCCCATTAACTTTTTCTGCTTTTAGCATAAGACAATCACAATCAGCACAAAGAATCATCTCATACAAAGCATATTTCTTTCCTCTCTTTGCTACAGATACCAGACATGGTCACTAAAAAAAAAAAAAGAGAAAGAAATTTAGTAACCTTTGGAAATGAAACATCTGAGAAGGGCTGCAGGAGTGAACAGAGGAAATAAAATCAAAACTTAACTATTTGTTAATGACATACAAAGAAATACAGCCAGACAAGCAAGAGGCAAAACCTTAAATCTCCCTCAACAGTCAAAGTGGTTAAAATGATTCCTGTAGCACCTGAAATGATTGCTGTAGCATCTAAGATGATTGCTGTAACATGTAAAATGATTGCTGTAGCACCTAAGATGATTGCTGTAACATGTAAAATGATTGCTGTAGCACCTGAAATGATTACTGTAGCTCCATATTTCCAGTATGTTACCAGGCCTGGATTAAAGTCCTTTACCATAATTCCTGTTCATGTAAGTGTACTATCCTAAGATGAACATTGATAAGAGAGAGGCCAAAATTGCTGGACTGACCTCCATCCATGATACTGAACTGATAGCACATGATATAACTGATGGAACGGAAAGGAGGAATAGACTGTGAACCCTGTGTGACATAAAACAGCACAACAGGACAATGAATGAATGTATAAAGTGTATTATCTGTAATGTAAATCAAAATGTAAATCCTGGGTGGGGATGTTCAACATGTTTAGTTAATGGTTAAAACACATTGAATGTTTCATTACATTTTTCTAAAATTTATATTTACTGGTTTCTCTGTGTCAACCTAGGACAGCATAATATCAAAAAAATAAATGTTGTATGTGTATAGGAGGGTGAGAGATAAGAGAGTGAGAGATGAACTGCTTATTCATAAGTTTTTTTTAAAAAAAGCATAGAGAAAATAAACTGAAATTAAAACAGACAAAATACATTCTACACATTAGTTGGGCAGTAAAAAATGTTGGGTTAAACAATCATAATATGTAAACTATATTTGTAACAAATCTGTATATGTTTCTTCAGGAACCGGAACATCAGAAGATAAAAGTGTGATAGGTGAGGAATCATCTTTTTTTTGTATCTATTGTTGACACTTTTCTGTCTACTCAGGTGATAGTGTTACAGTATTCAGATCATAGTGTTATAGTATTCAGATGATAGTGTTATAGTATTCAGATGATAGTGTTATAGTTTTCAGATGATAGTGTTATAGTTTTCAGATGATAGTGTTATAGTATTCAGATGATAGTGTTATAGTTTTCAGATGATAATGTTATAGGATTCAGATGATAGTGTTATAGTTTTCAGATGATAATGTTATAGGATTCAGATGATAGTGTTATAGTATTCAGATGATAGTGTTATAGTTTTCAGATGATAGTGTTATAGTTTTTAGATGATAGTGTTATAGTTTTCAGATGATAGTGTTATAGTTTTCAGATGATAGTGTTATAGTATTCAGATGATAGTGTTATAGTTTTCAGATGATAGTGTTATAGTATTCAGATTATAGTGTTATAGTATTCAGATGATAGTGTTATAGATTTCAGATGATAGTATTATAGTATTCAGATGATAGTCTTATAGTATTCAGATGAACATGTTATAGTATTCAGATGATAGTGTTATAGTATTCAGATGATAGTGTTATAGTTTTCAGATGATAGTGTTAGAGTATTCAGATGATAGTGTTATAGTTTTCAGATGATAGTGTTATAGTATTCAGATGATAGTGTTAAAGTATTCAGATGATAGTGTTATAGTATTCAGATGATAGTGTTGAACTTTGCTAGAGGGAGGCATAGGAGTCACAGCATTGAATGATGGTGAGTGTGACTATTAAGACCTTGACGATAGACACACTATGCTGTTGTAGAATATCTCTGATGTTATCTTTCCATATTTTTCTTGTTCCACCTTATGCTCTATGTCTTTCCCCTCTTTTGGTGTATGCCTTGTATGATATGGTGTCACAAGGCATTCTCTCTAAGTAGGCAGACCACTTGATCAATCTGCTGTCTTTGTATGTAATGTAAAATTGGTTCCATGCCAACTTTTTATCTTGTGTTTAATCTTTAGATACTTAAAAAAAATACAGTGATTGTATCATTGCTCAAACCAAAAACATACCACACACTCCAAACGCTTGCTAGCTGAGATGCCTGAGAAAAGCAGCTAATATTTTCACCCAAGACTGAGTGTCAGTGCTATCAACAGTTTTTGTCAAATACATTTATAAACAGAACAAATGACCTGAAATCTTGAGAAAGCAGCAACACCAGTTACCAGTACAACCCTGTATCTAAAAAAAAGCTGATAAGAGAGCAGGTCAGGCTACAGAAAAGACTAGACCTTTAAAACTGTTTACATCTACAAGTTGAAAAAAAAATGCCAACAACTGTTGAGCACTCAGGAATTCATTTCAACCAATGATGATTAATGCAAAAATGGAGGAGGAGGATGAATTGTTTTTAGCATTATAATGTTTCAGAATTGCTTTATTGAATTTTACTGCAAATTATAAACTGTTCTTTGCAGTCAGAAATATACAAATGAGCATGCATTTTGTAATTTATTTTTTAGGCTGTGATGCCAGAATTGACCTGGTGATTGTCCTAGATGCTTCAACAAGTGTCACTGAACCCAACTTTCTTCTGATGAAAAACTTTGTCAAAGACTTCCTACAAGATGCAGACATTGATGGTGGTAATGTGAGGGTTGGTGTGATCATATACAGCACAGAAGACTATGTCCAGTTCCACTTGAACACTTACAGAACCAGTGCTGAGGTGTACAGAGCCATTGATGAAATCCCATATCGTCATGGTAGCACCAACACAGCAGATGCCTTGAGGACCATGAGATCACAGATGTTTACACAGAGTAATGGAGATCGTCCAGATGTGAAGAATATTGGCATTGTTGTCACTGATGGTGTGTCCAACATCAACTCCAGGAGGACAGTTCCTGAGGCAGAACAAGCCCAAGCTGATGGCATTCGCATCTATGCCATTGGTATTGGTCTGTCAGATACCAGAGAGTTAGATGGTATAGCTAGCAAACCAGTAGAAGAGAACAGATTTGCTGTGCAAGACTTTTCAGAGCTGTCAGATCTGAGATATAAAATAGACACACTGCCTCTGGAACCAGCATGTCATAAGAGTCGACTAATTGGAAGGTTTCCTTCGAAGTGTTATTGCATCTGTCTGAGAAGTAGAGAACCAACAATTTGCATATATATAAGCTGGATCTGTTAAAAAAATGTGCACGCAACACTCAGATTCTGGATCAAAACTAAATTCCAGAGGTGGACAAACAACCAGAACTTTCTATCAGAGTTTACAGCCGGTGAACTTGAAGAAAAGAAGAACATTTCATGATAATTTTCATGATCACTCTGCAAAATTGTAGTTTTAATTTTACTTGCAGTGTAATTGCTATATTTGTTTTCACTTGTAGAAGTTACCATTGTTGTGTTAATTTTTCAATGGAGATGGAGATGTCACTATTGCAGATAGATTTTTTATGATCCTATTTTTTCAACAACATTGAATAATTGTTACCTTAAAATGGCTGCATAGTGAATATGAAATAGCTTGATTTTCTGTTCTCTTAAATTTAAACTGGACTATGAATGTTGTAATAATTATCATCAATACCATGGCAATAGAAGTAGGCTCAGAGGCTTGACCATTTCACATGATCACCAAAATCACAGATCAGGCTAGTGTTCCTCTCTCAGCCCATCTGTTTGGCTAAACCATCCAGGTATTTATCTATTTGCCTACCCCTTGCTCTAATTCCAATAGTCTATTGAGGTGTTACCAAGTTTTTCAGTCCATTCCTTCTAAAGTATGTCTGAAAAATGCAGACTGCACATCTAATTTCTCTAATCAATGGTTTTTAACTCTCCACCATTCTCAAGGATAATGCTGTCATTGGCAGCTTAAAAAACCAGAGCTCACATAGAGGGCAGTAAAGTTGTAAACTGTAAAAAAAAAAAAAATAAGACCTTGCTTAAGGGAAAAAAACATCTTTTGTATTATATGTGGATCTTTATGATTGTCAAACTGTCAACTCACTGCCAGATTATTGTGTATTTATATTCATCGCATCATCAAGTGGGTGTTTCACTTATTCCTTGTAATGATTCACCAGTTCATTTTAATGAATGCTTTTTAACATTTGAAAGTGAATTAGATTGTTGCTAAGATGTCTTAGTCTGTCATAATTACTTCATATATGTATCTCTTCATCTCAAAATTGCTAAATAGATTTCTACTGAATTTCTATAATTCACATTCCATCAACTGTTCTGATTATTTTTAATAATTTACTTTTGAGAATAATTATATACTTACATTATAATTTTTTTAGTTTCAAGTCCAGCACCAGTTGTAACAGAACGACCAGCACTTCGTAAAGTGATCTCCAGTAAGATTCTTACTTTATGTGTTTTGAATATTTTTGCATGACTTTGTTTGGTCATTATTCTGCTGATACTCTGTGCTGTTTTTAATCAAATAAGTGAATTTAAATTGATGTTCATTTAAACAAGTACAAATTGTTACAAAATATGTAAACAATTTAACTGCAAAATTCAACCAATAATGAGGTTATAGCATCACACATACAAGAATATCAAAGTATTTGAGAAATGAATTTATCACTCTAAAATGAACTTTTTAGACTGAAAAGTCCTTGACAGCATTGATAAAGAAGACTGAAATTTTGATGAGCCATAATTGGATCCCAAAGAAAATCAGTCACATAGTAAAACACAGTATCTGAGGACATGAAGTACACAGTTGTACACAGTGGTAAACAAACCAACCTTTCCTAAATAAGAGCAACATTCCTGTAAGAATGCTTCATGTAGCATTTATTATTCTTACTGACTTTAAATGGGATTATAAAGACAACATAAATATGTCTAGAAATAAATTCAGTGAATTCAGACAGAGCACTTTGATAATCACCTATTCCCTGATAATATTGTCCTATTGTCCCATACCCATATTTAAAATCAGGTGCAACAAGAATTAATCTCATATATTGAAGTTCACACCACTTATTATTAACCCTACCAGACCTGAGGCCCTGAACCTAACTGTCCCTATAACCTGAGCTCCTGGGCACTAACCCTACCACTACCAGACCTGAGGCCCTGAACCTAACTGTCCCTATAACCTGAGCTACTGGGCACTGACACGAAAAAACCAACATGATGTACTAAAAATATTAGTTACATGCAAACAAATTTTTAGAATAAAATAAAACTTGGAAACATTGTAGAAAATAGGTTTACCTTTCATCTAGCGCCAATCTTCCACCTTCGTGTGCCAATCCACCTAGTAGGATCAGTCTTGTTTCACAAAGTAAGCACCAGATGTTGCTGTTTGAGGGACACAACCCTTCTCTTACTATCGATCTAGTTTTAAATCTATAATTTTCATATTTCTCCTTCTCACTCTAGCTCTCACTGACTGTGTCACTTCAACTGGTAACGTATTTTTCATGAACATATTCACCGTCTGAATTAACCAAACTATCGATCACCTGTTGGACTGTGAAAAGCCTAGACCTACGTCCCTTTCTTGTGAAGCGGCTCGTTTGGTTGGGAATTTTCCGAATTTTTTTCACATCAAACCACACACAGAAATCTCAACACACGTGGGAAGTCATTTGCAATGACTAACAATGAAGTCTGATGGCCATTGGCTGGTTTTTTTTAGTCTGTGACGCATATTTTTCACATATTATGTCAATTCCCGGAAAAATGGGCCAGCGGGATAGCGGCAGGTTAGGAAATTCACGGAAAATTGGGCCAGCGGTCTGGTAGGGTTAATATTTATTTGGTAGAAAAAAATTGTGCTAATTTTGTTTGCATCTTCATTCTTTCAATTAAAATATGTTTTCATAATTTTCGTTATCAAAATTTTCCCTATAATAGTTTTAGTTATCATAATTTAAGTTATCATAATTTTAGTTATTCTTTGCCTAATATTGAAATATAATCACATATGACGTACAGTGAAACCTCGCTTAACAAGCATAATTTGTTCCAGAATCATACTCGTTAAGCGAAACACTCATTATGCGAACAAATTTTTCTCACATATAAATTAATGTAAAATACAATAATGCATTCCATGTCGAGAAAAATACTCACAAAATCCTATGTATAACATTTATTCAAAGAAAATTATATACATATTGTTGAGGCAAGTGAATGATCTTCATCTTTTCTTCAAACACGGACTGAACCCACCTGGAATGCGAATTGGATTTGCAGAAAAAAATGTCGAAATAATTATGATACAATGCCAATTAGTTTGTTTACTAGAAAGATGTCCAGAGACATTTGATTCTGCCGACGCTTCAAAGTTTTGCAAAAATGCGACACAGCATTATCATTTAATAAAATTGCAGCGAGCATAGCTACTTCCTTATTAAGGTGATGCTTCTCAATGTGAGATGCAACAGTTTCCCATGCTTCCAGCATTTCTCTTATTTTGCCAACAGATTGTTGCTTTTCTGTTACCTCCTCCTCCTCCTCTGACAAACTTTCCTCCAAAACCTCTTGCTGTGAAACACAATGCAACTCCATAAGCTCTTGGGTGGTCAGCTCTTGGCTGTGCTCTTCCACAAGCTCTTTGATATCACTGTTATCCACCAACAATCCCATGATAGTGACCAAAGACACAATCTTGTTGACTACAGGTTCCACAGGTACTGTCTCAAACCCCTCAAAGTTACAAATCGACAATGCTTTTCGGCAAAGCAGAAGTTAGGGTTCTCTTGGTAACCTTATCCACTGCCTTGTCGATCATCTTGAGGCAGGCAACAATGTGGAAATGATTTTTCCAACACTCTTTGAGAGTTAGGTTGTCTCTTCAGTCACCTGAAAACAATGCTCGATCAGTGCTTTTGTGTACTTAAATTCTTCGGGAAGGTAATATTTTAGGCCTGGAGGATTCATGCACCTTTATCACAAAAAACACAAGTGAGAAAATGTGTGGTCCTAAGCGACACTACAATGCTACTGGAGTGAGTGCTAAACACAGACTGATGTAACATGCACACAATCCGGGACTTCCCCTCTTCTCACCACTCGTTATGCCAAACATCCCTCGTTACAATTTGGTTTGCTCGTTATGCGAATTACTCGTTATGAGAGGTGCTCGTTAAGCCAGGTTCTACTGTATTTGATATACATTTAAAATAGCCAATCACACATGGTACATTGAATGAGATGTATGAAGTGTCCCACACAATCTTCTTATTCTTCTTCTTCTTCTTCTTATTTTTCTTCTTCTTCTTTCATTTGCTGGAAATAGATTATCTATAACTGCAATGTTGTCTCTAGTATGAACTTCACAGTCTTTGGTAATTCACTCAGTGACCCGTGCAGTTTGACTTGCACCGATGTTTCTCTTGGCCAAAAGTTTTTTTCTTGATATGTTTTATTTGGTACACTCTTTGAGGACGTGGTCTGTTGTCTCAGGTGCCAGTCCACATGCGCACATGGCTGATTCTCCGATTTTAAATTGTGTGTACACGTGGCTGCGAAGTCAATTGTGTCCTGTTCTAAGGCGTAGAATAATAATATGCTCTGGTCTGTCCATAAAATGGTAATCGTCTTTTGCTGGTTTTAGTGGTTTTCTGAATAATTTGATTATTCTCTTCTTTTATTGATAAGAGACTGGTACGTCAGGTTGTTCTTCATTTGCACCTTCCTTAGCTAGTTTATCAGCTCTTTTATTTCCAGGAACTCCACAGTGGGATGGTCTCCATTGCATACTTACCTTACACCGGCTGCTTACCTTGGAGAGTAGTGTTCCTATACCAGGTAGTTTTGCAGATTGGAGTGCATGAAGCACCGCTCTTGCATCTGTCAGAAATACCATGGGTTGTAAAATATGATGTATATTTAACAATTTCTCTGCTGCTATTTCGATAGCTTGAACCTCTGCATCTTATTTGTGACAGGTATTTTGGCTGTATATCTGGTATTATTTGGATGCTCAATATTCACTCCTTTTCCACCATTTCTGCTTGCATTTTGTGCTGACACATCCATATAGACATAAACCCAAAGATTATGTGGGTATTCATCATCAAGTAGAGCAAGGGTGGCTGTTTAACGTTGCACACTGTTTTATTCTTCTGTATCGAATACTCCTTTCACTTCTGTCTGGATGTGTATTGTCAACTTATAATCCTCTTTCCAAGGGGTCTAATCTGGAATAGCAATTAAGGGGCTATCAGTGGGCAGGCAGATCATTGGTTTGCCTGCAGAGTCGTTGGGCCTGGTGGATAAAACTGCTTGTTTTTAGTTGCCCCATTGCTAGATTTTGGAATCTTTCTTTTATAGGGTGTTCAGGCATGCTAAGAAACTTTTCTGTTGTATTAGTTAGTATCTTAGTGTCTCTTTGCTCTGTCAGTGTTTGAGTCATCACCATCTTCTCCATGACAGCTATAGGTGTTGATTTCATCTCGCCTGTTATGACACTGAGTGTGCTTGATTTTGCACCTTGTCTAACTTTTGAAGTGCAGTTTTTGATGATGAATTCCATGCAGCAGACCCATGTTCAAGGTGTGGCGGTACACTTTGATGATACACTTTCCTAAGTATTTTCCCATTTGCGCCCCATGTTGTTCCACACAATGTCTTATTTGAGATATATAAGTTTTATAAAATAGAGAAAAGCAATTACTGCTTTTCCAACAATTATTGTTTTGATTTATGATCTATATAACTGCTACTTTCAGGCTGTGGTGATGCCAGAATTGATCTGGTGATTGTCCTAGATGCTTCAACCAGTGTCACTGAACCCAACTTTCAACTGATGAAAATAACAAATTAACAAATCGTCAGCATTATTTTATGAAAATACACAGGATGTATGGACTGCAAAAAAGATATTTACAGAATTAAATAAAGAATCTTACTGGAATTTAGATTAACTTCTTTTAGGATCTCAAGGGAAGTCATTAAATGAATAATTTTAAATTACGAGACATGGTGTGCACATTTTTATATAAAGTAACAATTAAACATTCCATTAAAAAGAAACAAGATGTGCACCAATAATGTCTTTTGCAGCTTTTACAATTTTTTACTGACTTTAGATTGATTGGATTATAAAGACAGCAGATGTTACTATGAGAAATTCAATTCAAAATACCCTGAGATAAAGAATTGATAATGTGAACCTCACAGCCGACTTTGAAATCCTGGCATGCATATGAAATGAGTTGCAAAACAGTTTAATGATATTTATACGAAAGTCATGCCAGCTGGGACTAAAGAAATTTGTGGGGTTTATACAAAGTGCTGTGAAGTGACTGTGTTCTTCATATTACTTTTTAAACATATGTATTGCAAGATTTATTCATTATTTTCTTAGTAAGCATACAACCATATGTTGAAAATACAAATAAGTAATTATGGCTATTTAAAAAATTATATTTTTGTTTCATATTGCATTTTTCAAAATATGAAACATGTCACTTCTACTTCCAGGCTGTGATGATGCCAGAATTGACCTGGTGATTGTCCTAGATGCTTCAACTAGTGTTACTGAAACCAACTTTCAACTGATGAAGAACTTTGTCAAAGACTTTCTGCAAGATGCAGACATTGATGGTGGTAATGTGAGGGTTGGTGTGATCATATACAGCACAGAAGACTATGTCCAGTTCCACTTGAACACTTACAGAACCAGTGCTGATGTGTACAGAGCCATTGATGAAATCCCATATCGTCATGGTAGCACCAACACAGCAGATGCCTTGAGGACCATGAGATCACAGATGTTTACACAGAGTAATGGAGATCGTCCAGATGTTGAGAATATTGGCATTGTTGTCACTGATGGTGTGTCCAACATCAACTCCAGGAGGACAGTTCCTGAGGCAGAACAAGCCCAAGCTGATGGCATTCGCATCTATGCTATTGGTATTGGTCTGTCAGATACCAGGGAGTTAGATGGTATAGCTAGCAAACCAGTAGAAGAGAACAGATTTGCTGTGCAAGACTTTTCAGAGCTGTCAGATCTGAGACATAAAGTCTTCTCTGCTCTTTGTGCAGGTATACATGTTGATACTTTTAAAGTAACTATATACTGCTTTTTCAGTGTATTTATGATAAGGTCTATTTTCATTTAAAATACTCATTTATATGTAAATTTTTTCATACCTTTTGATGTTAATTTTGCAGCCTTTTCTATCTGGTATTGATTTGTGAAGTAACACTTAACAGTCTTGTCATTTACAGTAAATTATCATGTGTAAATTTGTTTTAAAAATAATGAATTAGAGCATGTTTCATTTATTTATTCACTCTTTATTTCTTGGTAAAAATGTACTCCACCATTGCTGGCCAGCTGGTCCTGTGGCATGATGAGGTACACACACAGTTTGACTTAGTTGGCATTCATCCTCTCCCAGATGAGCCAGTGTCCCAGTAGCCTGAAATCTCATGATTTCAGTTTTTCAGCCTGCACCACATGAATGTTGGATGACCTCAGTGCTCTATGGCTGCTTCCTTTTCATCTCTTCAAGGAGAATCTAGTCAACCCTAACAAAGCAGACTGTAGTGTCCAGTGCCCGATCATTGCTTGCACACCATCTGTTTTTTTTTTTTTTTTAACAGATGATCAATGTTGAAAACTCAAAAATGAACAGAATTTACAACACTATATCGACTTCTTGTATCCCAACTGATCAAATTATCATATGAAAATAGCACTATTCAAGCTGAGGTGATGAGGATAGAAAGAAAACATAATATGAATTTTAATTAATGTTACTACAATCAAACAAGCACAGGCATTGAAATTAATCACTTAGGCCTCTGGAGAGATGCAAGACAAACACATGAAACCACAACACTTGAATGCAAACTAGTTAACAGTGTTGTGATGAAAGAAGATGTAGATTAAAACATTTAAAAAAAAAAAAAATCTTTGTATTTCATTTAAATGTATACCTCCAGTTTACTACTTGTGAATAAATTGTTGTCACATTTTTGCAAGTTGCTTTTTATGAAATGTTTTGTCTAGTTTTTGCTTATTTTTTTTTTTTTTTATTGCACTTTATTTTTGAAAAATACATTATTTACAATTCATTTAGGTTCCACTCCAGCACCAGTTGTAACAGAACCACCACCACCACCACCACCTCGTAAAGTGATCCTCAGTAAGTTCATAATAGTTATGCTTTAAATATAATTTTGCAGTGTTTTGGATTTTATTCAATTATTACATTTTTTTAATAGCTAAGTTAGCCTAATTGTCATTTGTTGCAGTTAAATATAATTTAACTGATGTTTAATCATACAGTTAGTGTCAAAATAACAAATTAACAAATCGTCAGCATTAATTTATGAAAATACACAGGATGTATGGACTGCAAAAAAGATATTTACAGAATTAAATAAAGAATCTTACTGGAATTTAGATTAACTTCTTTTAGGATCTCAAGGGAAGTCATTAAATGAATAATTTTAAATTACGAGACATGGTGTGCACATTTTTATATAAAGTAACAATTAAACATTCCATTAAAAAGAAACAAGATGTGCACCAATAATGTCTTTTGCAGCTTTTACAATTTTTTACTGACTTTAGATTGATTGGATTATAAAGACAGCAGATGTTACTATGAGAAATTCAATTCAAAATACCCTGAGATAAAGAATTGATAATGTGAACCTCACAGCCGACTTTGAAATCCTGGCATGCATATGAAATGAGTTACAAAACTGTTGAATGATATTTAAATGAAAGTCATGCCAGCTGGGACTAAAGAAATTTGTGGGGTTTATACAAAGTGCTGTGAAGTGACTGTGTTCTTCATATTACTTTTTAAACATACGTATTGCAAGATTTATTCATTATTTTCTTAGTAAGCATACAACCATATGTTGAAAATACAAATAAGTAATTATGGCTATTTAAAAAATTATATTTTTGTTTCATATTGCATTTTTCAAAATATGAAACATGTCACTTCTACTTCCAGGCTGTGATGATGCCAGAATTGACCTGGTGATTGTCCTAGATGCTTCAACTAGTGTTACTGAAACCAACTTTCAACTGATGAAGAACTTTGTCAAAGACTTTCTGCAAGATGCAGACATTGATGGTGGTAATGTGAGGGTTGGTGTGATCATATACAGCACAGAAGACTATGTCCAGTTCCACTTGAACACTTACAGAACCAGTGCTGATGTGTACAGAGCCATTGATGAAATCCCATATCGTCATGGTAGCACCAACACAGCAGATGCCTTGAGGACCATGAGATCACAGATGTTTACACAGAGTAATGGAGATCGTCCAGATGTGAAGAATATTGGCATTGTTGTCACTGATGGTGTGTCCAACATCAACTCCAGGAGGACAGTTCCTGAGGCAGAACAAGCCCGAGCTGATGGCATTCGCATCTATGCTATTGGTATTGGTCTGTCAGATACCAGGGAGTTAGATGGTATAGCTAGCAAACCAGTAGAAGAGAACAGATTTGCTGTGCAAGACTTTTCAGAGCTGTCAGATCTGAGACATAAAGTCTTCTCTGCTCTTTGTGCAGGTATACATGTTCATACTTTTAAAGTAACTATATACTGCTTTTTCAGTGTATTTAATTTATGATAAGGTCTATTTTCATTTAAAATACACATTTATATGTAACTTTTTTCATACCTTTTGATGTTAATTTTGCAGCCTTTTCTATCTGGTATTTTTTTGTGAAGTAACACTTAACAGTGTTGTCATTTACAGTAAATTATCATGTGTAAATTTATTTTTAAAAATAATGAATTAGAGCATGTTTCATTTATTTATTCAGTCTTTATTTCTTGGTAAAAATGTACTCCACCATTGCTGGCCAGCTGGTCCTGTTGCATGATGAGGTACACACACAGTTTGACTTAGTGTTTATCCTCTACCGGACAAGCCTGTGTCCCAGTAGCCTGAAATCTCATGATTGAAGTTTTTCAGCCTGCACCACATGAATGTTGGATGACCTCAGTGCTCTATGGCTGCTTCCTTTTCATCTCTTCAAGGAGAATCTAGCCAACCCTAAACAAAGCAGACTGTAGTGTCTAGTGCCCGAGCATTGCTTGCACACCATCTGTTTTTTTTTTTTTAAACAGATGATCAATGTTGAAAACTCAAAAATGAACAGAATTTACAACACTATATCAACTTTTTGTATCCCAACTGATCAAATTATCATATGAAAATAGCACTATACAAGCTGAGGTGATGAGGATAGAAAGAAAACATAATATGAATGTTAATTAATGTTACTACAATCAAACAAGCACAGGCATTGAAATTAATTAGGCCTCTTGAGAGATAGATGCAAGACAAACACATGAAACCACAACACTTGAATGCAAACTGGTTAACAGTGTTGTGATGAAAGAAGATGTAGATTAACACATTTAAAAAAAAAACTTTGTATTTCATTTAAATGTATACCTCCAGTTTACTACTTGTGAATAAATTGTCACATTTTTGCAAGTTGCTTCTTATGAAATGTTTTGTCTAGTTTTTTTTTTTTTTTCATTGCACTTTATTTTTGAAAATAATATATTTACAATTCATTTAGGTTCCACTCCAGCACCAGTTGTAACAGAACCACCACCACCACCACCACCTCGTAAAGTGATCCTCAGTAAGCTTATAATAGTTACGCTTTAAATATAATTTTGCAGTGATCTGGATTTTATTCACTTATTACATTCTTTTTTTAAAGCTAAGTTAGCCTAATTGTCGTTTGTAGCAGTTAAATATAACTGAACTGATGTTTAATTAAGGAAAAAAGTCATTGACTTTTTTACAGATAGTTAAAAGAAATGTGGAGAATTTTAGCTGGAAAATGTAATTGTTCATGATCATACAGTTACTGTCAAAATAACAAATTAACAAATCGTCAGCATTAATTTATGAAAATACACAGGATGTCTGTACTGTAAAAAAAATATCTTTACAGAATTTAATAAAGAATCTTACTGGAATTTAGATTAACTTCTTTTAGGATCTCCACCATTAAATGAATAATTTTAAATTACGAGGCATGGTGTGCACACTTTTATATAAAGTAATAATTAAAAATTCCATTTAAAAAAAAAATGATGTGCACCAAGTATGTCTTTTGCAGCTTTTACAATTTTTTACTGACTATAGATTGATTGGATTATAAAGACAGCGGATGTTATTATGTGAAATTTAATTCAAAATACCAGGAGAAAAAGAATTTATAATGTGAACCTCACCGCCGACTTTGAAATCCTGACATGCATATGAAATGAGTTACAAAACAGTTGAATGATATTTATAAGAAAGTTATGCCAGCTGGGACTAAAGAAATTTGTGGGGTTTATACAAAGTGCTGTAAAGTGACTGTGTTCTTCATATTTCTTTTAAAACATATGTATTGCAAGATTTATTCATTATTTTCTTAGTAAGCATACAACCACATGTTAAAAACACAAATAAGAAATTATGGCCCTTTCAAAAATAATTATTTTGTTTCATATTGCATTTTTCAAAACATGAAACATGTCACTTCTACTTCCAGGCTGTGATGATGCCAGGATTGACCTGGTGATTGTCCTGGATGCTTCAACCAGTGTCACTGAACCCAACTTTCAGCTGATGAAGAACTTTGTCAAAGACTTCCTGCAAGATGCAGACATTGATGGTGGTAATGTGAGGGTTGGTGTGATCATATACAGCACAGAAGACTATGTCCAGTTCCACTTGAACACTTACAGAACCAGTGCTGATGTGTACAGAGCCATTGATGAAATCCCATATCGTCATGGTAGCACCAACACAGCGGATGCCTTGAGGACCATGAGATCACAGATGTTTACACAGAGTAATGGAGATCGTCCAGATGTGAAGAATATTGGCATTGTTGTCACTGATGGTGTGTCCAACATCAACTCCAGGAGGACAGTTCCTGAGGCAGAACAAGCCCAAGCTGATGGCATTCGCATCTATGCTATTGGTATTGGTCTGTCAGATACCAGGGAGTTAGATGGTATAGCTAGTAAACCAGTAGAAGAGAACAGATTTGCTGTGCAAGACTTTTCAGAGCTGTCAGACCTGAGACATAAAGTCTTCTCAGCTCTCTGTGCAGGTATGAGTTCCGGTTTGCTATAAGTAATGTGCATACTGCTGCTTAATATGGTGACTGAATTATGTTGTTTTAATATGCTGTTTTGATATGGTGATTGTTTTATAATACTGACGTATTTTTTAAAATTAAATTTTACCTTTTCTAAGTTATTTTTTTTTTTACATTAACCCTTTGAGTCCCAAGGAACGCATCATACGTTCATAGGTTCCCACCTAGAGGCCCTGTTAATGCAAGATGCACCAATTTACGTTTTTCTTGACTACTACCACTTGGGCCTCCTATGCTAAACCCCCTGGGACTGAAAGAGTTATTATGCAACCCTTTCTATGTCTGGTATTAATTTTTGAAATAACAGTTAACAGTTGTTTTGTTCTTAAACAGCTAATTACTTTTCTATGGTCCACATGCATACACTTGGTGTGTGTCCTTGTCTGCTTGTCAGTATAATTGAATTTAAGAACTTCTTCAATGTCATTGTCACTAGCTTTAAATTCAGATTTGACAGGTTCTTTTCCTTTTGTCTTATTATTTAAGTCTGGCCTATTTTTTTTTGTCACAGATGAAGCAATATTTTTCTGACTGTTTAACAGTGTCTCATCAGCGTAATTTCAGTAGCATATATAATCATCACCAGTTAAACTTTGAATGACCTCATTCTATGATCATCTTCTCGACAGTCTCATTGTGTAAAACAGTTGCTATTGATTGAATGTTTGGTTCCCTCCACCTTTGTCAGTCAGATACAGGGGACTTCTTTTTGCATGTTCAGGGTCTGTCCAGTCAGCCAAGTTCTGTATACAGGTCTTTCTTTGTCTGCCTATCTCAGCTTCCTCTCATTATTGTTTTGGAAAATCTTGGTACCTCTGTCTTTTTCATTGTATTTTCCATCATTTCACTGTTGTTATAAAAATTGTTCACCTTAAAACAATAGTATATTCGATTTATCGTCTGAATGGACTGAAATGTGTCAATGATTAGTGATTCATGTTGGCTGCTCTTTGCCGTCAACATATATTCCTTTTTTTCATATCTTGTCCATAAGTATTTTAATTTTGTACTTCTTTCGCTCTTTGCCTTTTATTGAACATAAGCCCTTGACCTATTCAGATTAAGAATTCCCCCCCCCCCCCCCTTTTTCCTCAATTTCCATTGTCTCAATCCTCTCTATCCATGAACTCTCCATGTTCTATAGTGGAATTGTTAAGGCTCTGAAGTTAAAGGGTTCAGTTTAGCACCAGATCTTTTAGGTTCTCTGCTTCTGGTTATCTAGAGATCTCCTAGAATTGTCACAGGAGGTAACAAAGTGTCAGACTTTGTGGGATACCCTTGGCACATGAAAAGTTGCTGTACAGAGAGAGACTGAGCCAGGAATACAATCCTAGACATTGGAGTCAGTCCAGTAAGTTTCAAACACCTTTAAAATAGTATCCAGAGATACTGAACTTCATCATATACTTCTTTCTATATTCTTCTTTCTTTCTTCTTTTCTCACTGTTACTTGTTTGCAGCTTAGTGTTGTGGTTTTCTGAATAGGTCTTGCATGTGTCAAGGAGCTTGACTGATGGGTGTGTTCACCTTGGATGATTAATCCTTTTAAAAGATTCAGCTACACCATGTGTCCACTTCTTCCTTGATCTTCCTCTTGTCTTCTGCATAGATTTTCTACTTTTAAAGTTTCATATAGTTTGGTCTGGCTGCATTCTTCCTAGATGGCCAGACCACTTTATTCTCTGTCTTTCACTATAATTCAGGCATAGTCTTGTTCCAATTGCTCTGGCTACATTCTTCCTAGATGGCCAGACCACTTTATTCTCTGTCTTTCACTATAATTCAGGCATAGTCTTGTTCCATTTGGTCTGGCTACATTCTTTCAAGATGACCAGACCACTTTATTCTCTGTCTTTCACTATAATTCAGGCATAGTCTTGTTCCAACTTTCTCTCTTATTTTGATATTCATGGTGTAATTTGTTTTTTTCTTTTTCTGTTGATCTTTCAGAGGCAACATATTTCATATGTATCTATTTTCTGTTTCTGTAGTCTACTCATCGTCCATATTTGGTTCTGACAGCATAAAGTCGGAATGAAGATGAATAATGAACAAAAGTTATGTTTAACAATATTATTTCCAAGCAAAGAACTAATGCTTTAAACCATGATACTTTTGTTTGCTTTCTATTTACATTTGTTTTTTTATTTCAGTGTAATACTCTAACACCAGGCTAATTTCTTAGCGGCTGCTACGCTTTCATGCTGTTTTATGCTTAGTTTAACCCAAGATTCAGCATCCTATGCAACTGTTGATGTCAACAGTGAAATCTAAAGCCAAAAACTAACATCTTCAAGGAAAGTGAATATGCAGACAATCAAAGCAGCCCAGATACCTCAGTGATGACAAGCCCTATTTTATTGTTCTCACATTGTGGCAGGTTTACTTATAATTTCTTTTACCTAATTTTATTGTTTAATGCAATTAGCTCATTAACTACCAGTAGCCACTGAAGTGCTAAAATCTGTGCAACTAGTGCAGTAATTCAATACAAGTAGCAACGCAAGCACATTTTTTTTTTTTTTTTTCAAATCTTAGACAGCATAGTTGTGCTTAAATGTTGGAAGCTGTAGTAAAAATTGTCGACACAGTTCAAGCTTAAATTGTAAATGAAATAATTCTATACAAGAATATTATCTAATCTGGTAGTTAATGAGTTGAGCTTTTATACTTATCACTAAATTAATTGTATGTTAACTGTTTTCTCTTTAATATGACTTATACGTTAAGCTTTGATCCATATCACTAAATGTATGCTATCTCTTTAATGAGTTAAGCTTTAATATCTATCATGAATTGATTTTATATTAACACTTCTCATTAAAGGAATTGATTGTTATAAGTATATCTTTAACTCTTATGGCCCCAAAAAGATTTTGTGTGTAGCCCAACAGGTATTCATAACCAAAATAAAAATTAAAAAATTGAAGAGTGTATATTTTTCAAACAGCATATTCAGTGCTACTGATTTAAATATCTGGATGCATGTCTTTATTAAGCCTATACCAAACGAAACAGATATACCATATCATGCTGATATTGATATTCCTAGACAGTGGGATTCACAGTGGTGTAGAGGCTAGTCGCTCACCTCCAGGACAAATATTCTGAGGTTGAATCCACATTGAGTTGGATTTTTTCCTCAATAAAGACCTTGGCTTCCAAGGTGATCAGTCTGGATACTAGTTAAGGTTCTAAGAGGGCGATGCTGGTGAGATTACCGAAAGAAATCTGATTGGTCTTTAATAAAATGATTCCAGCATTGTATGCCAATGGTGTGGAACTACTAAACTAAGGGCAAAAAAAAAATCACCATGTTAGAGACACAGTGGTAGTAACAATATCTAAATATTCATTGAACAGTTGAAAAATAAATCCACCAACCTAATGACACAATATTAGTAAGATTGTCTAACTATTCGTTGTATGATTTCTATCATAATCACAACCCAGACCAATGCAATACTTGAAACAATTTTAAAAAATTTAAATATATGTCTTATATTAATAATTACACAATACAAATACAGACTGTGAGAAATTGATGAACACTATATATATTTCTCTTTTATAACCCTTAGTATTTAACCGGATTATTTTTAGAAAAATTACTACGTGTGTAATAAGTTATTTAACTTAAATTTTACTTAGATATTAGCTATCTCACACTGTACTTAATTTAGGACATAAAGTGGGAGAAGGGGGAAGGGAATGTATAGAAAATCATGAAGTGGATAAAACACAGTTGAAATGGCCACAGTGTTAGGCCATTCATGGGAAGGAAATAATCACACATCACACATTAACTGAGGCTGAAAGAGTTGAAATATTTACTGAAACTGAAAATTATGACAAGTAAAGACTTGAGGCTTGGAAAAAAAAAGTCAGAAAAGTTCCTGAATAAAATGTCACAGAAGATGACAGAAATTGTCTTAAGTTTATTGAGGGTAATTTCCCTTTTTTTTTTTTAACTTATCCTCTTTCTTCTCCTCCTCTTCTTCTTCTTTTTCTTCTCCTCCTCCTCCACCCCCAGTGGAGCTAAGGCCTTCAACCAAGTCATTCAATCCTTTGCCATGGTATGCAGCTCATCCCATATCTTTCTCATCGATTTAAAAATCAAACTTTCTAGTTACCTTTTCCATATGTTTTTGTTGTAGTCTGTCCCTGTTTCTGTACTCTTGCGGGTTCCAGGGTAATCTTTATCCTCACTATGTCATAACTATTCTATTTGAAAAGTTCGCTCTCCCTCCCCCTTCCACCTTTCCTGATTGACTGGGTAGTTGTAGTTTCTCTTTCTGACTTTTTAATTTTTGTAAATAGGTTAAGGTGTCCAACCTGAGGCCCAACCCTACCCTTTGTCTCCTCTTATGACATCCCTAATAGGATAATGTGTTACTATTCATTGCTTCCTATGAAGGTCCTGGTAACACACTGCAAATGTTGTTTACTTAATTTATTTTTAATATGTCATTGTTGTCATTTTAACATAACAATACTTGTTGAATACAGTTGAATTTCAGTATTCACTTCATGCATGTATGCTTCAATATTGTGACTGGTTTAATAACTTACATTTTATGATGTATTTAATCGATACTCACTTTAACATTCCATTTTGTTGTTTTTCTCCAATGCTAGCCTAGGAATTTGAAAATGAAGCCATATGTAAGTGTTTCCTGGACTGTGTTCTCTTGTGTGCATAGCCTGTAAACAGAGATATTTTTTAAACTTTATGTTTTTAAACATTTATTTGATTTACATGATAGTATATTTATAGTGATGCTGTAGCAGATATATCATCCTTGACTGGCGTTTGGTTCATATAATTATATAATCAAACAGTTTAAACACTTATGATTTACATTAGATGCACCGACATAATAAAACAGATTATTTAGAGTTTTCAAAAAGACAAGAGCTATCTTCATGGATGTGATGTTTTATTTAAAATTTTTTCTTCACCTCTTTCAGCAACAACACTAGCTCCAATCAGGGTCACTCCTTCTCCAACTTCAGGTAAGAATGAGCACCCATTTTACCTGCTAGAGAGAATCTATTGAGGCAGTTTTCAGTTTGTTTCTAACATTTCAGTACGGTGCAGACGAGTTTAGTGATGAGAACCTGTTGGCTGAGGTTAGACTGCTAAGCTCTGATACAAAAGACTGGGTTTGATTCCATAGTAAGGTGATGGACATTTTTACTCCCTGGGGTACAAATACAAATTCTCACCTACACAACTTGTAATGCAGAGGAATGAAGCCTCAGTAGTGGTGTGACAGAGGAATGAAGCCTCAGTAGTGGTGTGACAGAGGAATGAAGTCTCAGCAGTGGTGTGGCAGAGGAATGAAGCCTCAGCAGTGGTGTGGCAGAGGAATGAAGCCTCAGTAGTGGTGTGACAGTGGAATAAAGCCTCAGTAGTGGTGTGACAGAGGAATGAAGCCTCAGTAGTGGTGTGACAGAGGAATGAAGCCTCAGTAGTGGTGTGACAGAGGAATGAAGTCTCAGTAGTGGTGTGACAGAGGAATGAAGTCTCAGTAGTGGTGTGACAGAGGAATGAAGTCTCAGTAGTGGTGTGACAGAGGAATGAAGCCTCAGTAGTGGTGTGACACATTATATAAGAGGTTTACTGTTGTGATGTTTGGTGTGATAAGTTTACACTAGAGTCTTGTCTCAGTGGTGGTATGTGTGAATGACACATTTATACAGGAATTCAATCTGTGTTATGTTTGGTGTGATAAGTTTATACAGGAGTCTTGTCTCAGTGGTGGTATGTATGAATGACACATTTATACAGGAATTCAATCTTTGTTATGTTTGGTGTGATAAATTCACACAGGAGTCTTGTCTCAGTGGTGGTATGTGTGAATGACACATTTATACGGGAATTCAATCTTTGTGATGTTGGGTGTGATAAATTCACACAGGAGTCTTGTCTCAGTGGCGGTATGTGTGAATGACACATTTATGCAGAAATTCAATCTTTGTGATGTTTGGTGTGAAAAATTCACACAGGAGTCTTGTCTCAGTGGTGGTATGTATGAATGACACATTTATACAGGAATTCAATCTTTGTTATGTTTGGTGTGATAAATTCACACAGGAGTCTTGTCTCAGTGGTGGTATGTGTGAATGACACATTTATACGGGAGTTCAATCTTTGTGATGTTTGGTGTGATAAATTCACACAGGAGTCTTGTCTCAGTGGCGGTATGTGTGAATGACACATTTATGCAGGAAATCAATCTTTGTGATGTTTGGTGTGATAAATTCACACAGGAGTCTTGTCTCAGTGGTGGTATGTGTGAATGACACATTTATACAGGAATTCAATCTTTGTGATGTTTGGTGTGATAAGTTTATACAGGAGTTTAGCCCTTGTGATGTTTGGTTTGGTTAAGTTTATACAGGAGTAAAGTTTCAGTGGTGATTACACTAGTTTAGCCCAGTGGATGTGATACAGTTTGTAGAAGAGTTTAGTTGTAGTTATATTTGTGAGATACAATGTGTACAAGAGTTTATATCCAGTAGTGGTGTGTCCAATGCTTTTCGGAATAGCACTCGATTGGGTCATGCGCAAATGCACACAGGACACACATCTAGGCATCAAATGGGTCGACAAAGTTCTCGAAGATCTTGACTTTGCTGACGACTAGCATCCTGAGCACAACACATCTAGAAGCTCAGAAAAAATGGACCGCCTCCAGAATATTTCAAGCCAAATCGGCCTTCAGTTCAACGCAGCAAAACGAAGATCATCGATCTTACCAACGAGTCGAAAGACATCGAACTAAAGGATATTGTTTGAAAAAATCACCAGCTTCACATACGTTTTCTCCAAGAGTAACCTCTGCGGGAGATACAAACATCAGGGAAAAAACGACTCGATCTGCCTTTAGCATCAAGTGCCTTTAATAAAACTGTCAAACACTTAGGAGTCAGATCACTCAGCAACAATTGGAACTTAAGGTCTTCAATTCCTGTGTGATCCCAATGCTAACTATGGTTGTGAGAGTTGGAAATCACAGTATCAAAGTGCCAGAAACTAGTCGCTTTCGAGAATAGATGCCTCCGAAAGCTATGAATGTTCCCCATCGGATCTTAGGTCCAATACATCTATAAGACAGGAAACAAAACAAAAATATGTGATCTGATTTTATGAAAAAGCGTCGCGAATTACATCGGTCACGTACTCAGAATGGACATACAGAGACTTCCACACCAAGCCTTCGTATGGTCACCAGAGGGTAAAAGAAAACAGGGAAGAAAAAGAAACTCTTAGAACCATCACAGAGCTCAACATAGGTCTCAGTCGCACTCAAGACCTACATCAAGTGGCAAAGAACCGACAGAAGTGGAAAGCTATGACTTAACAGATATGCGCCATCTTTGGCACAATTTATTATAAGGGAGAACTAATAAGTGGTGTGTCATGGGGCAGTAAGATATTCTTGTGAGTCTTGGTTAACAGATTCAGGACACACTTTGTGGATAAATAGATGCATTAGTGCAAACTAGACCTAATAGATGAGCATGTATGTCCTTTAACCCACTTTTCCAGAGTGAGGATCTCTGCAGCCTACTTTTAAACCCACTTGCCCAGAATGATTTGGATTTCCCTCAATACTTTATGTCATTAACTTGCTACAGAGTGTTTAGGAGTCAGATGAAATTGGATGTGTTTCCTGCCTAGCAGACAATGCCCAGAGTAGTTGTGAAAACTCACAGCATAAAGTGCCAGCCACCCTGTTAAGGGGGAATACAGAAGTTTGAGATAGTTCCCCAGATACTTTCCTGCCTACCCATATTGCCCAGAGAAAACAAATCTTGATTTAGATTCAGAAACTTTCCAAACCTACCTTAAGTCAGTGCCCACAGTGTGTGGGTAAAAAGCTACTTTCAGCCTACCCAATGAAGAGGTGATTGGTTTAGTTTTCTTAACAGATTTCAAGCATCTTTTAACAATTTATTACAAGGGAGATCTATCCATCTGTCAGAAAAATTCATTGCAGTTTCAGAAGTCAACTTTTCACTATTGATAAAAATGTTTGATAAATGGTGTCATATTTTATGAGAGCAGCAGCAAAACAATGAGCAGATACTTTCCTGCCTACCCACTTGCCCAGAGTGTTTGGATTAGTTTCAGATACTTTCCTGCCTACCCACTTGCCCAGAGTGTTTGGATTAGTTTCAGATACTTTCCTGCCTACCCACTTGCCCAGAGTGTTTGGATTAGTTTCAGATACTTACCTGCCTACCCACTTGCCCAGAGTGTTTGGATTAGTTTCAGATACTTTCCTGCCTACCCACTTGCCCAGAGTGTTTGGATTAGTTTCAGATACTTTCCTGCCTACCCACTTGCCCAGAGTGTTTGGATTAGTTTCAGATACTTTCCTGCCTACCCACTTGCCCAGAGTGTTTGGATTAGTTTCAGATACTTTCCTGCCTACCCACTTGCCCAGAGTGTTTGGATTAGTTTCAGATACTTTCCTGCCTACCCACTTGCCCAGAGTGTTTGGATTAGTTTCAGATACTTTCCTGCCTACCCACTTGCCCAGAGTGTTTGGATTAGTTTCAGATACTTTCCTGCCTACCCACTTGCCCAGAGTGTTTGGATTAGTTTCAGATACTTTCCTGCCTACCCACTTGCCCAGAGTGTTTGGATTAGTTTCAGATACTTTCCTGCCTACCCACTTGCCCAGAGTGTTTGGATTAGTTTCAGATACTTTCCTGCCTACCCACTTGCCCAGAGTGTTTGGATTAGTTTCAGATACTTTCCTGCCTACCCACTTGCCCAGAGTGTTTGGATTAGTTTCAGATACTTTCCTGCCTACCCACTTGCCCAGAGTGTTTGGATTAGTTTCAGATACTTTCCTGCCTACCCACTTGCCCAGAGTGTTTGGATTAGTTTCAGATACTTTCCTGCCTACCCACTTGCCCAGAGTGTTTGGATTAGTTTCAGATACTTTCCTGCCTACCCACTTGCCCAGAGTGTTTGGATTAGTTTCAGATACTTTCCTGCCTACCCACTTGCCCAGAGTGTTTGGATTAGTTTCAGATACTTTCCTGCCTACCCACTTGCCCAGAGTGTTTGGATTAGTTTCAGATACTTTCCTGCCTACCCACTTGCCCAGAGTGTTTGGATTAGTTTCAGATACTTTCCTGCCTACCCACTTGCCCAGAGTGTTTGGATTAGTTTCAGATACTTTCCTGCCTACCCACTTGCCCAGAGTGTTTGGATTAGTTTCCAAACAGAACATTATTTGTCTAATGAAGCCATTTAAAATTTTTTTTTTTAATTCCAGCAATGCTATGAACGGGGCCCTTATAAATATATATATTTTAACCTTCTTAGTTCTAATAACAGTGCAAAGATTAAACCGCATGACAAGTCTATGGTTAAGCACCAGCAATGAATTCAAAGTTAAGACTTTGAGAGCCTGATTCTTCCCTGTAGAAACATAAAGACCTGAGTCGTGGACTGCTTTGCAGTCATTAAGGACGAATATAGGTTTTTTGAGCTTATCTGTTGCCGGAAACTTCTAAGATTACCATGGACCAAAAAGAAAAGAAATACTGATATCCTAAAAAAAAAAGTGTACATCAAGGAAGATTGACTAGTTAACAGCATCTTGTCTTGGAAACTAAAATATTTGGAAATTTCAAGTGCCAACAGCAGATTGGGAAGAAGGCATTATACCAGGAAACAGAGGCATATGCAGACCAGCATGAAGATGGGTACAGAATATAAGGGACGCCTTTGTAGAAGTGAATGAGGTGAGGGAGCTGGTGAGAGGCTGAGGTTCTTTCAGGCAGGCTGTGATGAGAGCAATGTTCTGTAAGGGACCTGCTACATGAATAGATCTTCTGAACCCTTTCAGTCCCAGGGGGTTTTAGCATCAGAGGCCCCAGTGATAGTGATGACAGACGTAAAAATTGGCGCATCTTGCATTCTTTTTGCTTCTAGGTAGGAACCTATGATCGTATGATGCGTTTCCTAGTACTGAAAGAGTTCCGTTCAAGAGGATAAAATGACTAATGCCTTTTTGTTAAAGACAGATTTTGCAAATGTCTTAGCCAGATTTTGCAAATGTCTTAGCCAGCTGAAGCAATTAGCAATCATTGTCTAGGAAAAGCTAATAAAAAGAGAACATTGCATGAAACCATAAGGAAGATAACATTATAATGACTAGGAAGATCAGCAATAGAAAAGGCATAAACAAATTAACATGAAAGTGTTGTTAGATGATTCACTGAAATTGACCAAGTTAAGTGTTGCTAGATGGTTCACATAAACAGACTAAGCGAATTGTTGCTAGATGATTCAAGATGGTGACATGTAGGAATATCATCAACAGAACTGATCCAGATCATCAAGGCTCAGGATCTGTGGAGAGACGTCTAAGCTTATGCCCTCTTGCAAGGCACTTGATGATTCTTATGATCTTGACAATGAGGATGACAATTGCTTGTTATTTATTACTTGATACAATAGTAATGTGGATGACATTGATGTTTCTTCTGTAGAATGTGCCTTTAGTCAAGCGGATCTCATTATAGTTATTGACTCTTCAACAAGCGTTACTGAGAATAACTTTAGAAAGGTAATCAGTGATCATATTGTTTTGTTTATAAACCTGTTCATGTGTATCT